TAATTCGGATAAAGTATCAATCCTGTCAGGGGAAAACTTTCCAGTTTAGATGGAGGTTTGAAAGTAGCAATTGATAAGATCAATGTTCATTGTAAATAGAAAACATCACAGCTGGAAGCTTTAGTATATAATATGCCATTGTTTGAGAGTTAGACAGTGAAATCACATATTGCCAATGATGTATCGACCATACTTGTTGACAGGGAGGTCTAACTTAAAGTTCTTTGCTGGCTTAAATGCTCTAGGACCAGATCAACTAAAGGACTTTTGTATGATAGCGGCACTTCATAAAGGCCATGTGTGAGCAAAGTGTGACCTGTGGACTGCATACAGCCACCTAAAAACATGTATATGACCTCCCAGAGACCTCCAGGAACAAAAAAACAACAACCTGTAGTTGGGGAAAATGCTTTAAAGTGCTTCAAAATGATCTCTAGGATGTATGGAAGGCATTTCCATCATGTTTGGAGGACTTTTGACCTTCCTTGAAGTCAAGACAATTTTTTCAATAAGTGTCTCAAAATGTCTTCCAAACCTCTTTAAGGGGAAAAGAATGCACCCAAATATCGTGAGAATGCCACCAGTTCCCCCATAGGGTATTTGAGAGCATTTGGAAGCAAATATTTTTATTTCTTTCATGGGAGCTCTGGGGATTGTATCGAGGCCTTCTAGCCTTCCACCATTACACATCCCTGATACACACAATTCTGCAACTTTATCCAGTTTTATTTAGTTGTTAAAATACTTACATCTTGTCTTACTTTAAAAGCTCTCATGGCATAACAATAGTCTCTTTCCCAGGCTACAGAAATAAGTTGATTCATTTAAAATAAATTTATAAGAACATAATGGGGAATCAAACCAATAACCTATATGGACCTGCTGTAACCAAATCTATGGAAAATTTACATGCAGGACTACAGCATCCTCTAACTTGTGGTATTCAGAGGCACACTCACTTCGATATTTAAGTCAAATCATGACCAGCATGACTAGCTTCCAGGCAAGGAACTTCCAAAAAAAAAAAAAAAACCAACCCTGACATATTAGTTAGACAATAACATTACAGTTGATAATTTCTCCTATTTTGCCATGAGTTTCCATGTAATTTGGGGACTAACTGTTAGTCCCCGAATTACAAATATCTAACTTACAAACTTATAAATCAATATAGACTCATAGTTAAGAACAGGGTGAGACAACAGTAAGTGAGAGAAATCTTTCCCTAGGGAGGGAAATTCACAACTGAAAGACTTATGGGGAAAATGTGTCAATCGTCAATTCTTGTTTCCACAACAAGCCAAATTTTTCAAAATCCAATTATCACAGGGTTGGAAATAAGATGAAATCTGAACAGGGCCACAGACAGTAAAACAAATACCACAGGGGTGTTAGCCCTTCCCTATGCTATCCAATGGATGCATGCATGTATATGCATATAAATACTGGAGTTACACATTAAAAATGTACCTGTTCTGAGTTACATACAAATAGAACTTAAGAACAAACCTACACAACCTATCTTGTTCATAACTTGGGAGCTACCTGTAAATTGTTTTTATGCTAACCAATTAGACAATATGCTCTGTAATCCTCTATAAGGATAAGAGGCTGCTTCTAGGTTATACACTATAAAGAAAGGACTGTCATCTACATTCTGAATAGGATTACTTTAGCTAACTGCACCTATAAATGGAGAATCAAAAAGCAAGCACCACATAACTCAAAGTTGAAGCTATCAGAGAAAAGCACAAATCTACTGTTTCAAATTGTAGCCTCTAGGAATGTACTCCTGTAAAATTAATCCATACGAATACATGCAAAATTTAGAGATGCAAATCACGTTGGTTCTGATGTGCAGTAAGCACCAATGCATACTGAGTAATTATGCTATGTATCCTTGCAAACTTGTAAAAGAGCTTCTTAAGGCAGTTCTACACTGCCATATAATGCAGTGTAGAGTCACATCAGCCTGCATGCGTCCATACAACACACACAGGCTGATGTGAGTTGACCTTAATGCAGCTGCACCCTGAGTTAAGAAAACACAGGGGAACATTTGGATTTCCTCCAGGATCCAGCATTACCTGTTTTGGGGAAGTGGTGACAGTAATCCCAGATCCCTATGTGGAATCCAGGATCCTGTCCCCACAGTCATCACATGCTCTGTGAGCTCGAGTAGCCTGGGAAGATGAGTTGGCTGTTCCTCCTATCCCCACCCTCTACCAACACCCCAATTAGCCCCCAAATGAGCCTCAGGCTATTTTACTTCCTGGTTCATCTCCACATCTACCCCATTGCCAGTTGTGCCACAGCTTCAGCATGGCTGGGCTGTGGGGCAACTGCCCTGCCTCTAATATAATTGACTGCAACCCTGTCATAACTGCAGCTCCACATCAGTAGGAGTAGGACGCATACCAGTAGGAGTTGCATTATATGGCAGAGTAGAAACATCCTTAGAGCCATTACTATTTGGCATCTGTAAAGTAATATAGCAAGTCATATAGGATTTCAACATTAATTTCCTGAAAAAAATGCATTATTGTTTTAACTTATTTACTGAATTATTTTGGGCAATGAACAGCCTATGAATTAGAGGTAATTATTTCTTCATAACAAGGATTCCCAAGATTTTAAACAGATTTAATTCTGCTTCCATTATACAAAACAAAATTCTATATGCTTTGCAACTACTCTAACATGTTGAACATCAAAAAGTGATCACAACATATATTGCAATGATACGTAACTTGGTTCTATGTTAACACAATAAAACATTAAACCTCATATACAACCTATTTATTCTGACTTGAAAATAGCTACAAGCATGCTATAATAAGCCTATAAACTATTAAATCAGCCCAGACTCATGTTAGGAAATATTTTAAAGGTTTTACTTTCAATAAAACTATTCAAATATGCTACTCTAAATGCACTGTTATATTCACAATGAAAATCACAAAACGTTTAAATTCAGGATATGCATATTCTATGCAAAACATGGTCTTTAAAAAAGTGCATATACAGTATGACTACATATGCACAGGGAATATATTCTTAAATGTACTGTGGAAACAGGAAACCATGGATAATAGTGAATCCTCCTGAAATGAATGACTTCCCCTAGAAGTTACCATAGAGTAACCTGAAGAACCTTGGAAATTCCTAGATGTACATTCTTTAGGAATTTGCTAGGTCCTCCAGGATGATTCTATGGTAACTTCTGATGGAATCATACGATGAATCAACTGGAGGACTTAGAAAATTCCTTGAGAAGACATATTTTGTTGGATGTGGATAGGTGAAACCGCAATCATTGTAATTTTCCAAAATGTTGTTTTGCAAGTGTGCCACTTTTTACCCTGCCACAGAAAGGACCAAAAATACATGATTTGAAAAATTGCTTCCATGTATAGTGGAATGTCCAATCCTTGCATAGGTAATCCATGTCCAAAGCTGCCCTTAGGCATGCTTAAAGCACCTCTATGTAAATCAATAGGTTAGTAATGAGTAACTTAAGTGCCACTTATTTCAATGGGTCTGTTCTAACTGTGTCTAAGTCAGGATACAACCCATAGCCATATTACATATTATAAGATAACAGAAGTATCAAGAAAAGAGAACATAACTACAAAACTTGTTGCAAGGCTGAACGATTTCATACGCAAGAACTCACCGACATCTTAACTGGATTTTGGTCCTGTTTAGTCAGAATCCCATATCACTCGGCCCTCAACTTAGTGCAGAATAACCACACACAAAGGTCTATGTCTCATCCTAGTCTTTAAATTACTATTCTATTAAAACTTGCTGTGATTTTCTACAGGCATCTGGTTGGCCACTATGTAAATACAATGCTCAACAGGTTGGCCTTTGGTATGAATCAACACAATTATTTTTGAATTCCTATGTGCTAGGGACATTTCATATTCTTGTTTTCATCAGCAGTTTATAGAATTATATTGTAGATATCTTTGATAGATTAGCAAAACATCAATAACTACAAAGTTAGAGTGAGACTAAAAACTTGGGGGCAGAGAGAAAGAGAGAGAGATGGAGAGTGAGAGAGAAGAGGGAGAATCAACTAGACCAGTGGTTCTCAACCTATGGGTCCCCAGATGTTTTGGCCTTCAACTCCCAGAAATCCAAACAGCTGGTGAACTAACTGGAATTTCTCAGAGTTGTAGGCCAAAACACCTGGAGACCCACGGGTTGAAAACCACTGAACTAGAACAGTACAAACTATATCTGGACACTAGAAGAGAGAAAGAAAAGCAGTTAACAGAAGGCTGGAAGGAAAACAGAAAACTGGCTAGCAGGGAAGCAGTGCTATTATGTAGCTATGATAGTTGTTGATCAAATTGATTCTGGAATTTTTGATTTTAGATATGAGAAGATACAGTAAATATTTGGCTGAAATAATTTATACTTGAAGGCATGGTCAAAAGAGTGAGCCTAGGTAGGCACATGGTGAATTAATGCAGTTTGAAACAAATTTGACTGTCATGACTTAATGTTAAAGAATCTTGAGAGTTGTAGGTTGGTGAGGCACCAGCATTCTTTGGCAAATGTTAGAGAACTTGTAAAACGACAACTCTCAAGATTCTATAGCATTGATCATGTTAATTCTGCAATGTAGATGCATCCACAGAGAGGTGGGTAATCTGGTAGAAAGAGAAAGGGAGGGACAAGCTGAAAGACAACAACATATGCCTAAGATTTCTGGGGGACTACCACATCCTAGATCCCCAATTCGCTCAAGGCTTTCTAGCTCTCAAAGTCTTACAAAACCTCCAATTTTATTTTTCATTTTCTTGTATTTCCTCAGCAGTTATTGGGCAAAGTCTGATGGGAAAACGATTGTGCAGTTCACTTGAGCTCTTGTCCTTTTAACCAATAAGGAACCAAAACCTAAAAACATCCCACATTTAAAGAAAACACAAGTGAAGTTTAAAAACAAACAGGGATGGGGAAACCAACTAAAATTGTAAAACATTTACCTGAAGCATCTCCAACCTTGAAGTCACTGTCATCTGAACTGTCATAATCTAGAGCTTCCAGCAGGGAAGCTGCCAAGGGCTTCACTTGTCGCCTTTTCGAGCTACGATCCACTGTGAAAAAGAACACAGGGAGGGGGAAAGAGAGAAAGAAAAAGAGAAAAAGGAATGTTTCTTTTTCTGATACTAACAGGATATTAGGATGAGCATTGGGGGTGGGGGGGAGAGATCACTGGACTTTTCAAAGGAAAAATGTTACGACCATTGGGTTCACTTTAATTTATCTAAACAGTGTGGTGGGTGGTGGGCATTCCTTTCAGTGGGCTCAGACTAGGAGGGAGTAGGACTACGTTTGTACCGCAGTACAAAGTTATAGGGTGTGTTGTCGAAGTCTTTCATGGCCAGAATTACTGGGTTGCTGTAAGTCTTTCAGGCTGTATGGCCATAGTCAGCTCCACTGATTGCCGGTCCACTTCTGAACACAATTCAAAGTGCTGGTTTTGATCTATAAAACCCTATACCGTTCTTGTCAGAACATATCTCCCTCTATGATCCCCCTTGGAGTTAACGATCCCACCACCCTCGCAAGTGCGGTTGGCAGAGACGAGGGACAGGACCTTCTCAGTAGTGCCCCCCCCCAAACTATGGAACACACTCCCCAGCAAAATTAGGGTGACTCCCTCACTCCTCTCCTTTAGAAAAAAGGTCAAAACATTAGGGCTGGGTGGTTTCGTTTCGTTAATTCGTAATTAGTTAATAATTCGTTAATTTTTTCAATTACAAAACGATAACAAACCATTCTGGAGCAATTATTAAAAAAAAACGAATTTTCAAAAACGTTTTGTAAATGCTTCGTATTTTGATATTGTATTCGTTTCGTTATTGTTTTGAGGCCGTTTCATTATTATTTCCACATGTCTGGGCCAGTTTTATGGTTTAATTTAAAACTAACAATGAATCATAATACAAACCTTGAGATTCTATAAATCAATGTAGATGACTATTTACAGTTTTTGTAACTAAGTTACAGATTCCGTTTGTACTTCCCTTTTCAGTATAGATCATTAGTTTCCCGTATTTTTGGCCCAATTTTGCCCTATTATTTCATAGAACCAAGAAGCAGGAAAAGCACATTCAAAGCACCCCCGACAGATGGCCATCCAGCCTCTGTTTAAAAGCCGCCAAAGAAGGCACCTCCACATTCTGGGGCTGAGAGTTCCACTGCTGAACAGCTCTCAAAGTCAGGAAGTTCTTCCTAATGTTCGGGGGGGGGGGGGATCTCATTTCCTGTAGTTTGAAGCCATTCTTCCACGTCCTAGTCTCCAGGGCAGCGGAAAGCAAGCTTGCTCCCTCCTCCCTATGACCTCCCCTCACATATTTATCCATGGCTATCATGTCTCCTCTCAGCCTTCTCTTCTTCAGGCTAAACATGCCCATCTCTGTAAGCCACTCCTCATGGGACTTGTTCTCCAGACCCATTTTAGTCGTCCTCCTCTGGACACATTCCAGCTTGTCAACATCTCCCTTTAATTGCAGTGCCCAGAACTGAACACAGTATTCCAAGTGTGGTCTGACCAAGGCAGAATACTTCCCTGGATCTAGACCCACTCTGGGGCTGAGAGTTCCACTACTGAACAGCTCTCAGTTAGAAAGTTCTTCCTGATGTTCAGGTGTAATCTCCTTTCCTGTAGTTTGAAGTCATTGTTCCGCATCCTAGTCTCCAGGGCAGCAAAAAGCAAGCTTGCTCCCTCCTCCCTATGACTTCCCCTCACATCTTGATACATGGCCCTCATCACGTCCCCTCTCAGCTTTCTCTTCTGAAGGCTAAACATGCCCAGTTCTTTAAGCTGCTCCTCATGGGACTTGTTCTTCAGACTCTTTATCATTTTAGTCGCCCTCCTCTGGACACATTCCAGCTTGTCAACATCTCCCTTCAATTGTGGTGCCCAGAATTGAACACAGTATTCCAAGTGTGGTCTGACCAAGGCAGAATACTTCCCTGGATCTAGACCAGTGGTTCTCAACCTGGGGTCCCCAGATGTTTTTGGCCTACAATTCCCAGAAATCCTAACAGCTGGTAAACTGGCTGGGATTTCTGGGAGTTGTAGGCCAAAAACATCTAGGGACCCCAGCTAGAGAACCACTGATGTAGACACACTCCGGGGCAGAGAGTACCACTACTGAACAGCTCTTAGTTAGGAAGTTCTTCCTGATGTTCAGGTGGAATCTCCTTTCCTGTAGTTTGAAGTCATTGTTCTGCATCCTAGTCTCCAGGGCAGCAAAAAGCAAGCTTGCTCCCTCCTCCCTATTACTTCCCCTCACATATTTATCCATGGCTCTCATGATGTCTCGTCTCAGCCTTCTCTTCTGCAGGCTAAACATGCCCAGCTCTTTAAGCCACTCCTCATAGGGCTTGTTCTCCAGACCCTCTATTACTTATATTTCCTCTATTGCTTCTCTGTGTTGCAATATTTTTGGATTTCAATGCAATCCCGTCACATAGGATGCTCTTACCATCAGGAGGCTCTTGCTAATCTCTTTCCCTGCAATTTGAATCCTCCCTTTCAAATATCGATACATGGCTGTGGTGTCCCTCTCAGCCTCCTTTTCTCCAAGCTAAGCATATCCAGCTCCCTCATAAGGCCTCTACCCTTCTGCTAGAGATCTCTGGTGCCTCAACAAACTACAAATCCCAGGGTTTTGTAGAATGGAGCTGTGAAAGTGGTACCATAATGTTGCAGTCTGGGTGGCCTTGGGGGCCTCTGGTTTGCACCGAAAATAGAAACACGGAGGAGGCCAGAGACCCGAGCAAAACGGGGGAGGTTCTCTCGGGAGCCCTGCTGGACTTACTCACTGGAGTCGAGCAGCCGCTGCCGGGCATGGAGGAGAAGGCCGCCTGTTGCCCGGCAGGGCGCTCCGCTTCGAGCGGCAAGAGGGAGGCCGCGGCGTCCCGTTAGGCCGGCTCCGTAACCCAGACAATAGCCGGAGACCCGCTCCGGATGCACTTCCCTCCTCCCAAAAGGCAGGACCGGAAGTCTCCCCTCAGCGCCGCCTCAGGAACCTGCGCCGGGGTTGCTGCTCCGCCACGCATGCGCAGTGGGTGAAAGCGAAGGCTGGTCTTCGCCAGTGCTTTCGCTGAGAAAAGGCAGCCTAGTCTGTGAGCGGGGAGCGCGTGAATTGCCCTCCCGGTAGGCAGTGATTCCTATTGGACTTCAACTCCCAGAAGCCCTCGCCAGCTTGTTTCATAGCCAGGAATTCTGGGAACTGAAGTCCAAAACTCCTGGAAGACCAAAGAAAGGGAATGGCTGCTTTTAAAGGTGCAGTTCTACGCTCTAGAGCAGGCATGGGCAAACTTGGGCCCTCCAGGTGTTTTGGAGTTCAACTCCCACCATTCCTAACAGCCTCAAGCCTTTTCCTTTCCCCCCTCAGCCGCGGCTGAGGGGGGAAAGGAAAAGGCTTGAGGCTGTTAGGAATGGTGGGAGTTGAACTCCAAAACACCTGGAGGGCCCAAGTTTGCCCGTGCCTGCTCTAGAATGACTGCAGTTCGACACCACTTTTATTGCCATAGCCCAGTGCTATAGGATGATGGGATTTGTAGTTTGGAGACCCATGACTCATTGGTAGAGTATCCTATTAAGCACTGATTGTTAAAGGGGTTCCAAACTACAGTGGAGATGCACCAGAACTGAAAGTACAAGACTTCTGAAATTGGTGGGATGAAATTAGGTGGAGCTTTCCATTCCATGTAGAGGAGTTGAAATTGAGCTGAGCTGCAAGTGTGCTTGCCAGGTCAGGGTCATCCTGGAGGGGCATGCACTCTGCACGTTCTCAGGAGTCCCCTTCTGACTCGGGAGGGCGACATGGAAGTGTATCAGCAGATAGGAGAGATAATACCAAGAGTGATCCTTTTGGAGGCAGAAAAGTACGGCTTTATTTCCAGCTGGGACTTTATTTATTTATTTATTTATTTAAAACATTTATATTCTGCCCTTCTCACCCCAAAGGGGACTCAGGGCGGAGCACAGCATATACACGGCAGACATTAAATGCCGGGAGACAGATTCACATACGATGCATAAACATTAAAAAACATTTATCAAAATATTAAAATACGCCATTTAAAACCGTTCTAGTCATCGGCATCAAATCTAATTGGCCTGGTCATCTTTCCTATTTCCTGCCTTGATTTTCTGGGATATAGGGCTGTGTGGAAGGGCCCCGTAGTTTCAAGTTAATGCAAGAATGCTGTGTGAAAGAATAGGGAGAGCAAACATGAGAGCTACTCCTCAAATTGTAGTAACAGCTCTTTTTCAAAGCCCTGCTTTTGTCTCCACTCTACAGATGAGACCTACAATCCTATATAGCATCTATAAAATCTTATAAAACTACATCTCCTTCAACCCAATATCATATTAAAATCAGAGACCCAGCCTAAATTTACTCCCAGAGCATTATTGCAAGTTGCACACAGCTTGCCATTCAACTGCACATACTTATACATATACACAGAGGGAACATACCTTACTGTTTGGAATTAAGAGCCAAATCTTTGCTCAAGGACTGGAATTTGTTGTTGGGACCTCAGAGATCTCACACAGAAGGATGAGGCTTTGAGATGAAAAAGCAATGCAATTTTAGGCTGCATCCATAGGGGTGTAATGTCTACTAGAGAAGTCATGGCCCTTCTCTACTCAGGTTTGGTCGGTCTTCACCTGGGATAACACTGTCTAGTTCTGAGCCCCACAATTCAAGAAGGAGATTGACAAGCTGGAACGTGTCCAGAGAAGGGAGACAAAAATGATCAAAGCTTTGGAAGCTAAGAGGAGCAACTTAAAGAGCTAGGCATGTTTAGCCTTCAGAAGAGAAGGCTGAGAAGAGACATGATGAGGTCCATGTATCAATATGTGAGGGGAAGTCATAGGGACGAGGGAGCAAGCTTGTTTTCTGCTGTCCTGGAGACTAGGACATGAAACAATGGCTTCAAACTACAGGAAAGGAGATTCCACCTGAACATGAGGAAGAACTTCCTGACTGTGAGAGCCATTCAGAAGTGGAACTCTCTGCCCCAGAATGTGGTGGAGGCTCCTTCTTTGGAGGCTTTTAAACAGAGGCTGGATGGCTATTAATCAAGGGTACTTTGAATGTGATTTTCCTGTTTCTTGGTAGGGGGTTGGACTGGATGGCCCAGAAGGTCTCTTCCAGCACAATGATTCTATGGGCAAGCTTGTTTTCTGCTTTTCTAGAGACTAGAACACAGAGCAATGGATTTAAATGACAGAAAAAGAGATTCCACCTAAACTTTAGGAAGAATTTCCTGACAGTAAGAGCTGTTCGGCAATGGGATATGCTACCTCAGAGCACATTGGAGTCTCCTCCTCTGGAAGCTTTGAAGCACAGGCTGGATGACCATCTGCTTTTGGTTGTGGTTTTTTTTTTAAAAAAATGGCACAGTAGGGGTTGGACTGGATGGTCCTTAGGGTCCCCTCCAACTCTAAGATTTTATGATTCTATTATTCTAATCTAGTCCGCTTGTTTCAAGATGAAGGTGAATGTAGAGCAAAGCAGGAGGTGAACCTTGTTAGTCCACTTTAAATGTAGTGACTGTCTCTTGCAGAATTCTGGGTTTTTTAGTTTAGGAAGGTCCAGGGCTTTTCTGAGCATTTTAAAGGCCCCTCCCTAAAGTACAAACTCCAGAATTCTGCATGAGACAGTCACAGCCTTAAAAGTGGATAGATGCTCGAGTGTGATGAGGCCCTGAGTGTTACAATGACTGTAGACTTATCTATACTAACACAAATAGTTATCCAGGTGCAATCCAGAATAATTTGCCCTGATGGTGCCCTATATTCACCTAGTTATCCCCACACTTTTGGTATAAAAGTGATTTGATGTTTCATTGATGGCTCACAAAGGTCCCTGCCCAAATGTGATCTGGTACTGCTTACTCCCCAGGTCTTCTGCTGCACCTGTCACCATCCTCCTTGGCAAGTGGGCACATACTCCCAACAGAGTCTTTTTTGTTCCGAGGTTGTAAGAAGCCATCCAGCCATGTGATCAGCAATGAGGTGGGGCTGCCCAATTGTGCCCCCACTGCTGATCCCATAGTTAGATGTCTTCTTACAACCTTAGAGCAAGTGACACCTTTGCCAGCAGGTCTCTTGCCCCAAAAGGCAGTGGCAGCAGAAGACCCAAGAAAACATCAAGCTTTGATTTCTACTGTGGAGCAAGTGGCTTGAGTAGGGAATGGGTTGCAGCCACCACCCACAAATGGTGAGGAAATGAGGAGGATCTTTCCAGTGCTGATAAGTGAAGAGGGCAGAAGTTTGTAATGGCTGCAAGCACCAATCAGTACCAGTAGCTTGTACTGACATGTGGACAACTGGATCACTTCAAAAACACCATGGGCACACTAGAGTTTTCAGGAAGTTTCAGAGTAATCTTTATGTTCTCTGAAGGTGGATTAATATATAAAAGTAGTGAACATTGCCATACAATGTCTGCTCTGATCACACTGTGTTCAAGGTGAGTGTGGTTTCTTGTGCATTTCATCTGACTTAATCACACCAGTTTTGAGATGAGTGAGGATTTTTTCTCTTGTGTAGACAAGCCTTGAGATGGAAGAGTGCACCTGCAGTTTGACAACACTTTTAACTGCCATGGCTCTATGCTATGGAATCCCGTGAATTATAGTTTTACAATATCTTTAATTTTCTATGTCAAAGAGTTCTGGTTACTAGCCAAACTACAGATCCCAGGATTCCATAGCATGGAGCATTGACAGTTAAAGTTGTATCAAATTGCATTAAATTTACAGCATAGAGGGACCCTAAGAAAGTACATATGTTTCTTGGGGAGTCTTTCCAAGGTGATACAACAAATGAATTAAACCTTGTACACAGCAAATTGCTGCATTACTAGGACTGCACCCAGCTTTTATATCTTGCCCAGAGCTGAGGCCATTGAAACTGGAGGATTTTCACTCAAGTTTCCCACCTGAGAGCTCTTCCACATAGCCATATAACCCAGAATGTCAAGGCAGATAATCCACAATATCTGTTTTGAACTGTGTTATCTGAGTTCACACTGCCATATAATCTAGTTGAAAGCAGATAATGTGGGATTTTATACAGCTGTGTGAAAGGGGCCTGAGATTACTCAGGAAAACTGGAGATTCAGGACCTAGTCCTGAAATATTGCAACCCTAGTTGCAAGCATGTAATAATTTAAAGGATATTAGTTGCAGGATTTTTCAATACATGAGGATTGTGGATTTAGTGATCATGTGTCAATGAACAGAGAACAGCAGCCTGAAAGAGCTGTCTCTTAAGAAGCAAATCCCAGAGAAACAAAGCAGATGGGCAGAGACAGCATCAATGGAGCAATGGACAGAATGGTTGGCTGTTCAGACAAGCAAGTTGTGGATAAGACATGATATTTTTCAAAATTTTGGGCCATCATCTTGAAGATATGGGGTGGGAGAGAATCAAACAAGCAAACAAACAATCTGTTCCTCCTTCCCTTCATCTTGATTTTTCTTTTGTGGCAAAACACCTAAGTCTTTTATCGACCTCATCTTGCTTGTAGTGTTCTGGCTTGTGTGATGAACCCATGCTCAAAGGAACTTTTTGATGCCTTTGCTCCATACAGAAAAGTGGAGAATCAAACTATGCTGTATTTTGCTTATCACATAATTTACACCTCGATCTAGGCTCGCCTGATCAAATAACGGAAGATAAGAATTTCTATCTCTGAAGTCTTATCACAGCTATATATTACACACAATCATACAATGTGATTTGTACAGGCATATTATATATACTTCAAAGAAGGATGACAGGCCTCAGTGCTCACATCAAAACATCTCATTATCTATCCCTCAGAAATGTACTAATGCAGTTTTCCACACTTAAATGGAAATGTCTTTAAGAACAAAGATATTATGCTAAGAAGAAGGAAATATTTCCCCGCAGTAATTGGCAGAGCACACAAAATGCAGCAGGTTCCAAAAGCTGTAATCCAAAATGAAGATTGT